CTTGGCAGAGTATGGCATCTTCATCAATACCGTTAAATCCGATTTTGGACAACCAGAAGTTGACTTTCTCGGTTATCGTAAATCGGCTCAAGGAATTCGTCCGCTTCCAGAAAAAGTTGAAGTCATCGTCAACTTCCCACGACCGAAGAGGAAGAAGCCGCTTCCAATGCCTCCAAGAAATAATTGCAAGATGCAACGTTGCTGATCTACCCGGATACGTCATTAACGTGGGCCGTGTTTACAGACGTGTCTGAATTTGCCATTGATGCCGTTCTTCAACAGCGGAGGGGTATCGTTTGGGAGCCGCTTGACTTCTTCAGAAAAAAGCTTCAACCTCCTCTGAGGAAGCGCAGCCCATACGACAGAGAACTTCACGCAATCTACGCAGCAGTTCGTAAGTTCAGATGCATTTTCAAAGGCCGTCATGTCACCATTTTTACAGATCACAAGGCGCTGTTGCATGCCTTCAAACAAGATCCAGACAAGGGAACACCATGGCAGTTCCGCCGCCTTGATTTTACTTGTCAGTTTTCGAATGATATCCAACATGTGGCAGGCAAAGACAACGTTGTCGCCGATGCTTTATCGCGAGTCGAGGCCATTTCACCAGCAGTCTTGACAGCAGAGTTAGCCTATCAACATGCCGGATAGACCAACTCCAATTTACTGTGACGAAAAGCATTTTGTCATCTGAATGAATGGTCAAGCAACTGTCGTATCCATTGAGGGTCTAAAACCAGTATTTTCAAATGCTGAAGACGAAACAACTAATTCCGACTCGTCTGGTACCGATAGCGGTTCTGACGACACTTTATTGCCGTGTTCACAGCCACCAACACCTGGTATATACTCTTATAAATATTGTGTATTGTAGCGAGTATTGTAGCGAAGCTACTTTTATATATATTTCACACCATTTCAATGTATTGTTTTCGAGCTCGGCTTAGCAACTCAATTTCGTATCGTGACATATGTCGCCGATATAATGCTGTCCTTATCGCAAGACATCCTCGTTACGATTCGTAATAATTCGGACATCCTCGATCGGATGATCTAATAACGCTGTCGCGGGAGCTCACTATAATTCCAGCTCTCAAGCTATAAACACAAAAGCCACGTTTGCTGTGAATAAATTCAATTCGATTTATACGTTAAACCCGAGTGTTTTACATTACAAAACCCTTCTATCATTCACCGAATCCCCCAAAAAATTCAGAAATTTTTTTAAAATTTGATAGAAATTATAAACGACTGGGCTCAGGAAAAGTAGAAAATTTCAAATTTTGAAACAGTAGAATCAAGAGAAAATTTAAGGTTGGAATAACGAAAATAGAAAATAAATTTTTGGGAATAGAAAATTGTGATAGAATCTGGAAAAAAAATTGAGTCATTGAAATGGAATTTGTTAAAATTAGTAGAATGGAAAAAATTCCATCAGGAAGAAATGTAGTCGAAAATAGAAAAAAACTCTGATTGAAAAGACGTAAGGAAAAATTGTAAAACATCGTAGCAGGACACGAGCCATAGAGTGATTTCTCACAAAAGGAATTTTTTCCCCTCCGGGAGAAATTGAATAAAATTCCAAAATATGAACCTTGTAACGAGATTTTCTCGTTACGGTAAACTGTTTTACCGATGCGAAAAACCATGAGTCAAGGATGATTATAGTAAGGAACGACATCTAACGCCAGCTGAAGAAGCTGAGCGAGAGATGAGAGTGACATAGAACGGCGGTTCAAGTGAACCGCGCATGAAGTGAATAGACGAATCAAATAAGGCTTGGCCTTGGTTTGGTTCGAACCATGCTTCTGAACATTATAGAGAGGCTGTCGATACGCTGTCGCCATATCTAGAAACTCGCCCAGTTGTGTTTGGGGAAAATGGGCAAACGGACTGGCGTTCCAACTAGACGATTCTAGAGGTGCTATCGACTTAGACTAGGGACCAACGGCTAGGTGAGAGGAATAGCGCCCCCTCGATTGACGTCGAGCTGATTGGTGGTGATGGAGTAACGGATGACCCACCGCGGCTGAGTTATTCAGACTAGGGGGAGAAGGCCCTAGGAGATTTCGAGACAGTCGGTGACAGGCACTAGAGTCGAGCGGCTGAAAATTGCCCGGTCCGCGACGACGATCGCAAGTGGCATTAATCCGTTATGGATTATGGGGGTCTGTTGTGAGGACAAGATCCGAAACAGCGAGAGAATGGGACGCTTCGGCGTCCCAAACAGGATGATCGCATGACTTTGAGGGTGTGGGATGTTTTAATTCCATGTTCTCAGGGATCCATCAGCTCGGATGAAAGAAGTGGTGTTGGCGTGGATCCATGGGCCGGGAGTTAGGCCGACTCCTGGAGGCCCGATCGCACGTACCTCCACGATGAGTAATCTGGGCGTTGGCCCGCGATGATAGTGCTTTTACCGAGCAGGGGGATTGAGTTGAGGTGGGCACAGGTGGGTGAGAATAAGCCTCCGGATACCTGTTTCGCATGTGCCTCTCAATGTTCGGCGCTCCGAGGAGTGAGATGGATTCGCAGGTAATGATCGACTTCTCCAGAGTTGAGCTACTCAGGAGAGGAAAGGAATACGTCAGAGGAAAGGAAACATCCTCGGCGAAAGATACATGGAGGAATGGCTCTTCGAAGATACCCTTTATCGAGATCTCTCGGCTGAGAAGTAGAGATGGGCGATACCCCTCGATATATCGAAGCGTCCGATATTTGATATCGATATATCGATATTTTCCTGGCGATATTTTTGGCCACCAATATATCGATATACGATAATTTTTTGTCAATATCGGAGTATGAATTTGATTTCAATCCACCGAAATTTCTTTTCAACTCGACGAAGTAATTTATATAGCATGTGCACGTGTGCCCCCTACACTTTACTACAGAGTTTTGCCTTTGAGATGCTAATTCTGTACTCTCTTCAATATTTCACATAACCATTTTTTCGTAAGGTAAGTTATCGACGGAGTTTTTTCACCGAAATCTTCACATCACCATCTAAGTTCAACTGAGTCCAACGGTATGTGGATGGAGGACAATAATAGTTCGACAAATATTTGAGAAATAATTTAGAAAAACTTCCCCTGTACTCATCTCGATTTTTTCAGTATCAATTGATTAACAGAGACCATGGTTGAAGAAGCAGGTGAGTGAAATTTCCTTCACCTCTCCCTTGAAAATGTGTAGTTGACACTGAAGAATCCTAACCTCATAATTGGATTGCTCTATCCAGTAATTTCCAAAGCCATTTGATGGTTACAGAACGAGTTTTAGCTTATTTATTTTTTGCTTTGCTTTCAAAGACGACAATAAATGGGCCATCTATCTGAGAGTTAATGACGAAACTATTTACTGCAAGGCTGGAGTCTCTAAGATAGACATTCTTCGATTTAAGTGTAAGTATCTTGTTAATCTGTTCATATCATTAATGATGGGAGCTGAAATATGTGGTGTGGAGCTAATTCATAGGACCGATGAGTTACTGGCTCAATTGTCTGATAGATACCTCAAAAGGTTCTATTGTCTACTGAACCAGTTGTCTGGTGTGATGAATTAAAGTAGTACATACAGACTCAATAAATACAGGAAAATGGATTTAGAATGCCCAAAAAGATGTTCACTGATGATTGACAACTTTTCATATGACCCCTAACTTTAATGAGCGTAAATTATAAATCCATTGAATTATTTGTTGAATTATTCTTTCAAATAATAGTCTCCTATATGATCAACGTTTTGTTCATCCTCTCTTTAATAGTTCATAACAAATAAATCGATGTTAACGATGAATATCTTGGAAATGAAGCGAGATACAGAAATTATTATTGAAATCTCTTTTGTAACTGTCATTTCACTCTATAGCAAAGATCCCCATAAAAATTTCGCTTGCTTCATTTGCAAGATATTTGTCGATTATTGATCCAAAGCCACAAGCACTTATCCTAGTTTACCAAATCACGACAGAAATGGAACTGAGGATAATTCTTAGATTGGACATAGATTCTTTATTCATTTTTTCTGATTTTTTCGCATTTTTTCTAGATTTCAATTTTTGCCACAACCTGATATAGCTCATTTTCTCATAACGCTCTGTTATTTTGGTATTTCTTGATAATTATTATCAACAATACTACACTGAAGATTGCGCGCAAACCCAACCAGTATTTTTCTATTCTTAAATTTTTTCCAAATTTTAATTTTTGAAATTTGAGTTTTGTATGTACAACTTTAAATGTAATTTCTTCTACTCATCGTTGACTCATTCCATTTCCCGTAATTACAGATTCGACTTGGTGCTGGGAGTTCATACTCTCATTGTATGGTCCAGGAGGAGAAAAGTGGGAACCTGAGAGGAAAACAATAAACTTGTTGAGTGTCTCGGATGATGGGGATCACTTCGAGGATGTGAGGAAGCCGAGAGAATCTTATACTTCTACGTATACTGTCCTCGCTCCCCATGAAGACAGTGACTCTGGTACAGATTCTATAGCTTCACGGAGCACCTGCAGCCATCAATCTCGACAGAGCAAAGACTTTCCCAGCAAAGCAGCCTCTGCAAGTGGAACCCATGAGAGGATTACGCCATGTTCTGAGGCCCTTTCAGAGGAAGATGCTCCTGTTGTTGAAAAAGAGCCTTCAAAAGTTAAGAAAAAGAGTCTCGTTTGGACCTTTTTTGATAAACAAGATCTCACTCACGCTAAATGCCAGCTTTGTAATAAATTAATTGCACATTCTGGTGGAACAACCAATATGCATACTCATTTGAAGACGAGCCACCAGAAATTGTCAGTTGCTACGAAGATGAAAAACAACACGCCTGAGTCCAGTGGAGAGTCGACAGCTGACGATGAGCCATCATTCAAGAAGAGAAAACTGACTCCGAAGAATCACCTTCCTAGAATCGATGAGGCAATTGAGAGACAAAACTCTTTCGCACCAGGGGGGAAACAAGCAGACAGAATTACAAATGTTCTTCTCTAAAGAGCATTATGGAGAGACAGGGTTTCCAACAGTTCGTGAAAGTTACCTCTCCACATTACACGCCGCCCTCTCGAAGAACTCTCACCAGATTGCTTGATCATCGATACGATCATGCTAAACAATCTTACTGCCCAACTCTGCAGAAAGCCATTTGTTACACACTCACTTGTGACAACTGGATAGATTGCACTTTCCAGAGCTACCTGGGTGTTACTATTAACTATCTGACGGAAGATTTGAAGCTGGAGAATGCATGTTTGGGAGTTTTTCCACTGGATAAAAATCACACAGCTCAGTATCTATCAGACTGCTTCGAGAGTGTCATAGCTGATTTTGGTTTGGATAAAAACAAAATTATGGCCATCACGAGTGATGGAGCAGCCAACATCAGATCTGCTGTACAGAAAATCGTCAGCCCTGACAGACAAATTTGGTGTTTTACTCATTTTATTTCATACATTGTGCCCAAAGTTTTGAAAGCTATGGAACAACTGACCGAGTTGATAGATACAGTTCGACAATTCGTGGTGCCCTTCAAACAAAGTGTTGTAGCAGCTGATGAATTAAGGAAATTATAAAAGGATGATGGTAAAACGGACGGGACTGCCAAGAAGTTCAAGCTTGATTTTCCCACCAGATGGAATTCGCAATTTTACATGTTGGAGAGGTTTCTGGAGTTGGAGAAGTACCTACCTGGTGTCATTCGAAAGTGCCAAAAGGGACTGTTTCCGGCTCCGTTGACCCACAGCCAAATTGACACACTCCAGGAGCTTGTAGAAATTATGAGGCCTGTTGAATCGGTGATCAGGGAAATAAGTGGAAGTCACTATTCCACGTGCAGCGTAATTATTCGAATCGTTTCCTGTCTGACAAAATCAATCAGAGCCATGAAGCTCCTCACAGATGAAGGAATTATGTTCCAAAATAAATTACTAGAAAAAATCAACGAGAAGTTTGCGAATGTTGAAGATCACAAGCTCCTAGCGATTTCCACCATTTTGGACCCAAGATTTAAAAAACTGCACTTCGATCATGCCCTTGCGGTATCTCATGCTGTCGAAAGGATAAATAAAGAAATGAAGTCGATGGGTATTGAAGATAGCGAGAAGAAGAAAGCCTCTATATACAAGTCCGAGGATCCCAAGAGGTTCAGTTTGTGGAGGAGCCACGACGAATTGGTTGCAAAAACCACGGACGAGGCTACTAAGGATGAGCACTTGAACGACAAACTGCGACAATACCTCAAGGAACAACCTATTCCACGACACGATGACCCATTTAAACATTGGCAATCCCTTCGCCCTGCTTTCCCCACTGTTTACGAGGTGGCTATGCCTTACATAAGCATTATCAGCTCCTCTGTACCATCGGAAAGGATCTTCTCGGAGGCTGGCTACATTAAGACCCTTGAGAGAAATAGACTGACTGGTGAGCACGTCAATCATCTCCTATTCCTCGGAGATCTTCCAAGAGAAGAGTGGGACTTTTCATGAAATTGCTCGTATATCAATGTCTTATTTGTTTTTCTTCATTTTAATTTATGGTGACTTGTTTTCATGCAGCTGGACTGATATCCTGTTTGTTCTTTGAATTTTATACTTTTTACGAGACACACATTTATATTTGTTGTACTAACAAAGTGAGAAACAAAATGTGTCATTCGTGGTTCATGTATCGTTGTGAAATACATGGTGATCCGAAACCTCTGGTTTCCCTTGTGTTTATCCTTCGCATGACAACTGTCGATACTGTTTCTTGCTCTCTGGCTTGGAGGTTGGTACAGACTGTATCTATTTTTGTTAACCTTCCTGCATGAGCATGTATTCTTGATTCTAATAATGAAAATCCTCAGAGGTGAATAGTGTCATTAATCAATTGTGTTTATTCCGACAGGACGGTATCGAAGGGAGTCATTTCGAAAGGCTAACTGCGAAATAAGGACATCGACTCAGGGATGAAGTGTTAAAATCTCATAGAGTGTATTATTTCATCATCTCGATGACTTGTAATTGGGCCAGTGATACCAGATCATCAGAGCCAAAATTCCACGAATGAGATTTTCTTGTGTGACTCTTTGATCCTGTAGTGGTCTCGCACGGTTTTATTTCGAGCGAAGTTCATTTACCCGATAGAGAATAACGCAAATGTTAGAAATAAAACCGAAAAAAGTCTCTTGCAACGCGGCATAATTTTATTTATTTCAGATTTCATCGGACCCGATGCTCTCTCTGTCTCTGTCTCTCTCTCCCTCTCTCCCTCTCTCTCTCTGTCTCTCTCCCTCTCTCCCTGTCTCTCTCTCTGTCTCTCTCT